CCAATATCTTCCTTATTTGAAGCTTATTTTACTTCCATGTTTAGGCCGTACAAGAGAGGGGAGGAAGAGGTCGAGTGAGTCTCACTGAAATCTACAACATGAAATTTAAAGATTTCTAAAAACACAAAAAGAACAAGACAATCCAGTAAAAACTACTCAACAAAAACCAAAAAATGTATTAAATTAAAGTACAACTTGATGGCAAGAGAAAACGGGCTCTTCTCATATGTACACACACACACACACACACACTGCAGAGCAAATACATTCAGTTGAACACATTCTCCTCTGTGTACGATCCTCGACTTTCCTGTGGAATCACGGGGGTTTGGTTTGTCACGTTAGAGACAGTAGGTCCAGTACATTCACTGGTAACGCAGTTACTGTACACACACGCGCGCACACAAGGCATTTCAAGGATAAACTGGTCACAAAGGTGTTTAAGGAGCTGACCCGGGAAGATTTCGCTCCGCAAGGTGCATCGAGAGAGTCGGTAACAAGCACTTCAGCTAAAATGAATCGTCTTTTTAAAGGGCGCCCCGGACGTTTCCGATTCAGCTTGTTCCAGCTTGTTATTTGGCTTTACTAGACAAGTGTCTCCGTGTCAAGTATCGTGTCGTATGCAAAACAGCTTGTTAACACTGTAAGCAAACCTCATCCCCATAATGGACACTCCCAGTAGTAAGCTACAGTAGTACCATTTGTTTTTGTTTGTGTTTTTTTAACGAGGAACTGGAATGTCGATGTCGAGAAGCTAAAAGAAAGTTAGTAACGGAGCGCAGCAGAACTACTGAGATAATGCTAAACTCAAATTTAAAATGCCAAAGTGTCACTCCAGTGATGCCTCTTCTCGAGTTATTATTTAAGGTATTTAAACGCACTGACGAATACTGAGACTACACTTTTAACGTCAGAAAAATCTCTGATTTCTCACGCCTCCTTTCCACACTTCTTTCCATAACGAATAAAACAGTTTTCAAGATATTTCTTGTTTAAATACAATCATTGGTTCAATGATTTTTTTTTGTCATTTACATACACGTAGGAAGGAAAAACACTGTTTAAACACTGAGACACAGGACGCAGCACATCATGTAAAGAAACGACTCTCTCTAGAAGAGGTGTGCAACAACACATGCATGCACACTTGTACACACATGATTTCTCTCTCATTCTCACACACAGAGAACATGACCTTGCCTTTGTATCTACTTCCGTTTGGTTTTGTCCGCCTGCTTTTACAACACACCCGAACCACCCGAAGGAGCATCGGGTCGTTTCTTACAGTAACTGACCTGCACTTGCATGCTGCTTGAGGTCCATGGGATATGCACAAATGGACAAACGACAAGAGCACAGAAACCATAATGAGTAATACAAATGGTCTAGTATATTTCCTGGAGTGGTCAGAATCTGGAACAGCTCGGGAGGCCGTGTTTCTTTAAATACGGTGTCTTTGAAAGTTTTTCGGGTGTGGTGCGGTGTTTGTGGTTAATGTTACACATCGGCATGTACGTGTCTAGGCTTTGGTCTCATCGCCAAAATAGGAGAATCCTTTGAACTCGTCTTGGTTGATCTGCTTGATGATGCTCTCTTCAACAGGCGTCAGAACGGGTTCCTCACGGGTGAAGTCCTGGTCAAAGTTATTGACGTCCCTTTTGGTTTTCTGGAAGGAAAGGACGAAGAGATAAGGTCTTCTTTTGGTGGATTTAGCCTTTGGACATGAAGTAACTGGGTGTGCAGCAGTGTCAGCAGTCTTTAACAAGTAAGATCAGTGTTTGGTCATTCAAAGAAATTGCATTTTTGCAACAAAGGCTTAACTTTAACTTCTTTTCTCCACCTTTGAACAGAATAGTAATAATCTTCACATTTTTGCATCATCCTCTGCAAACTGTCTACAGTTGCTTTCCCCCACAGTTGCTTAGTTACTTAGCGTGTGTGTACTCACGATGCGAGGTTTGAACGGTGGTCTGATCTTCCTCTGCTCCAGCAGCGTCCAGTCAATCTCTCTAAAGAACGGGTGAAGTTTAATGGCCTCCTCCAGACCCTGAGCCACCACGCAGCCCAGACGCTTGTTAGGGCTCTTAGTCATAAACTGACAAGTGCCAGAGAGAAAGAGGAGAAACAGATACGAAAAGAGAAAGAGTGAGAACATTTTTAAGGATGTGATTTAAAGAGGGAGATTTGCTGCTGAACAAGAATGTCTTTGTAAAGGAAATAAAAACTAAGACAGGGTTTTAAGTCTGTTTCATTATTAATTTCTATTTCATTTCCTGATTCTAGTCTTGTAAGAAGCAATTAACAGGTATCATTTTCAGAGATCTCAGACTGAGTCAGAGGAAGATTCGCACAATAAGGCCAAAAACACCGAACATCTAAAAAAGACAAAGTTTTGTTTCAGAACAGAAATTTAAATTAAAAATTTTTCATTTTTTTTTTGTGTCTTCAGGGTCTTGCTGTTGCTCTTCCAGAACAAACTACCAAATATAAATTACCACTGATGGAAATAATCTTCTTTTAATATTGTATTATTGTATTTTAATATTATATAATATAATTTTTGGCATTACAGTTTGCTCTTTTTCTAATGCGATCTTTTACGTATAAAGGCAAAAAAATAGCATTAAGGCTCAGGATGGGTTCAGATCCAAAGGTTTATAAAACAGCATGTGAAGAATCACCATATTTTCAAGCAGAAAAGGGGAAATTCTGGGACTATTAGTTGCTTATTTATATAAACGATACATAAGAGCCACTGTTTTTTATTAAAATGCCTTCAGGATTTTTCGCATGTATGTTAATTAAAAACTAGTGGAGCAGTAGCGCACAAGCTGTTCATGTGACTTGAAGTCCTTCAGCTGGATGACATGTCCAATCAGAGCCCATAGCGCCGGTCAAGTGACCGGTCAGAGTCCAAGACGCTGTCCAACATAAACACAGACTTTCCCACAAGGCTTTGCAGTCAAACTGTACCCACAGCCAAGGTAAACGCGAAGCTTGTGATGGAAAAACTGGATGAACAAATACACAAATGGACAAGTGGTGCTGCACACGCAACCAGTACCACACAGAGACAAAAGTAATAGAGAGGGAATTATCTTATGTTGCTTTAGTGGAGGAACAGGAAACACGGATCAACAAATGACACTGAGAAAAAAGCAGCATCCTCACTCACATGTGAAAAAGAGACAAAAGCGGGGAAACACGAGGACAGATGGAAACACACGACCAGCTCCATTTGTCCAATTGTGATACACTCTAGTGGAATCCTTTATAAAGTGCAAGTTTTAGTGCTGAAGATATACATAAGATCTAATTATACATCTTATGTAGCATACACAAGAAAAATCATGAAAGACTCAGAAGACGTAGTAAAAAGGGTGATTTGATTATGTTAATTTGTGTTCTTACTAAATATCCAAAAATGTCACCACTGGATTTATCATGATATGTGGAAACCATATCTTTCTGTCTTTGTGGAATTTAAAATTGGTTCAGGATCTTCAGAATAATCCCCAAAAGTCTGGACGCAGCATTATCCACATAGCAGACTGTGTAAGTCAGGAGTGTCCAACTCCAGGCCTCGAGGGCCGGTGTCCTGCAGGTTTTAGATCTCACCCTGGGTCAACACACCTGAATCAAATGATAGTTCATTAACAGGCTTCTGGAGAACTTCAAGACATGTTGAAGAGGTAATTTAGCCATTTAAATCAGCTGTGTTGGATCAAGGACACTGACCCTCGAAGCCTGGAGTTGGACACCCTTGGTGTAGGTGAACTGTTTCTATTTAATCTGTATGAAACTGCTTAAATAACTCATTTGCTGGATGTCGACAACAGCGCAAACGACACAGTGCCACAACTAACTGACCGCTCTTAGAATGGACACGGCCTCCTTGCTGAGCCAGACCGGATAGAGCACGTCATCGTGGAGGATGGACTCAAACAGGTCGTCTTCGTTATCGGCCTCAAACGGTGGCTGTCCTGCCATCATCTCGTACATCAGCACCCCTAGCGCCCACCAGTCCACTGACGGACCATAATCCAGCTCCTGGAGGATCTAAAAAAACCAAAAATACTCCTGTCAAGCCCAAAATGCTTTTATATACAGTTTATCTTTCTTTCTTTTCTTTCAAAGGTCTTTTTATTAGACAAAGGTTCCAATACAATGTATACAATAA